TCTTCAGCAGCTCCCATTGTGTGACTCGTCTTGATTACATATAAGGCAAGTGAGAAGGGGAACGGAATAATCAGAAAGGGAAATTTAGTGTACACAAAACTTTATTTTTAGTGAGTTCCCTTTTTGTTGATTGGCTCCTCTACATTTATAGGAAGGTGGACCATGGCCCTGACACTTTTTCCTCTTATGGGTCCCATTTCCCACCTCACAGTCCTTTTCAATACTTTTCACACATGTAATTATTTGTTCAGGGTCTGTTTACCCCATTAGACCGTACTCTCCCTGTGGACAGGGTCTGTATTGCCGTGGCCAGGAACTCAGGGCTAGCACAAAGAACTTGCTGGACCAGGGGCAACTTTGAGTTGCAATCCAATGACATATTCAATCTACCTTCTCCACCTAATATGAAGTCTGTTTTGAATTTGCAGTAAGGGTCTATGTAGGGTAACCGAGGGCCCTGTAGTTGTTTAATAAATGTTCGTTGAATAACAACTAAAGGTGCTTTAAGGGAAGGGAAACGCTGGGGTAAACCCCAATTCTACTGTTGCTCTATTCCAGAGGGCACCTCACCTTTTTCTGCAGAGCAGACTTGTCTCTATCTTGATCCCACAGCTTGGCAGACAGACACTGACACCTTCATCTCATGAGCCTCTGCCTTAATTCTTTATTTGCAAAGCTTCATCGTATTTCTCACAGAAGCCAAGACAAAGGTGGAGGAGGTCACACATTTCTAACTTCTCTCACCCCCACTTTTCAATGAAATGGTTGAAAGTACAAGAGAGAGGACTGTGAGAGTGATAGGTACCTATTTGTGGGCACTCTCAAGCTGAAGCTGACGTCTTTGGCCTCCTGATTGAGGAGAATGTGGGGTTTCCTGTCCCTACCACTTTGTGCGAGGTCTGGGGTAGCCAGCCACACTGTGCTAGCACCTAATAATGTTGCAGGTTTAATTCTAGCCCAAACCTGGACAGGCTGAGGATCAGGTCAGAACTAGCTGATGTGCAGAAAAGGCTGCCAGAATCCTGATGAGCAGCCTGAGAAAGTGTAGCCATAGGTTCTGCTGAAAAGTCTTCTCTCCTTATGTTTCATTTTTCATTTTTTTCTTTTCCTCTTCTCCCACCTCTCTGCTCCCTTTCTCATTCATTGCTTTCTCCTTCCTTTTCCCATCCTCCATTCATTCCTCTTCCTTCTTAGCCTCTGTCCACCTTCCCACCCCTCTCTCTACTCTGCAGCTCCCCCCTTTTCCCCTCCCACCCTCTCTCTCCAGCTTTCTCCCTCTTGCTTTCCTTGCTCTCACTCTCTCTTTCTCCTCCTTTTGTCTACATCCTACTGACTTCTTGTTTCTTTTCTTTCTCCCTTTTTCTTTCTAAGAATTTCTTCATGTACCTAGAAGAGGACTAAAAGGGGCTCCGTGAAACCTTGGCTGGAAGAAAACATGGGTCGAAGCAGTTTTGATCATAGGCAGCCACTAAATTTGATTTGTAGCTGATCTTAAATGTAGGAAAATATTTTCAATTACAAAACTCATAAACTGTAAAGATGAGGGAACCTGGCTGCATTTTGAGTTTGACTAACGGTCTCAAAGCGCTTTAAAATGTTTGGCATTTGCCAGCCTTGCTTTCTTCCTCTAATCCTCAAACCCAGGAGTTTTTATGGGAAACATAATCCTCTTTTCTGATTCATTTACACTTAGCTCATCTGAGTATTGTTTTGTAAAAACCATCTGAAGTCCAAGAAGTTTTATGAGATCTTTAAAGACTTGTTTTTTGAACCAGGAAGTTGTGTACTGCCAATATAAACGGACCTTGAACCCTCGGGGGGTTTGGGTCCAGGATCTGTGGCATTAAACTGGGTCTACACTTGGCAAAAGCCTGTCCTCATGCCTGACAGAAACTGGGCTTTCACTTTCAGAATAATAGTGAGTTCAGTGTTTTAGATGAGTGACCATCTCATACGATAGTACACGGGGCACATAACATTTTTCAAGGATTATCTTGCTAGTTATGTAATAGCAAGAGACTTATGTGGAAAACTGTGACTTTGCTAGAGTCTCCCAGCTAGAGAGTGGAGCTGCTTGCTCATGTGTTTATTTCTATATTAATGGTTATGGATACACACCTGTCTATAAACCTGTGTAGAGGGATGGGATTAACACACTGGAGATTTTTTCCTGTGGTTATGTTTCAGAGATGATCTGATTGTAATATATCTAAATCCGTCGTAAGGCAGGTTGTAATTGGGGTGAAGATTGGTGTGAAATACCCACTGTTGTGGGTCAGGAGAGAGGAGGATTGTATTACACATTTTTCACGGTAGAAAACATTTTTCTGCAGAGCCATAGAGCATAGTAAATGTCGTTTCACCCATCTCCCTACAATACAAGGATCTCGGGCAGATTCCCAGGTTCTCTGGAAACTGAGGCTCAGAGAGGTGAAATGACTTCATTCCCCTGGGGAGTAAAGCAGCAGCTAGAGCCCAGCCCCATCCAGGCGGTGCCCTCTACAGGCAGCTGCCTCTGTTGACTAAAAGCAGCTTTGATGTTTGCCGCCCCTCCCTGTGGGTCCTGTGAGTGATCCACTAGAACAGCTCACCCACCACTGAAGACTGGTGAAGCCTGGTCCTGTTGGGGATGTTGTCCTTCACTATTTCCTGAGCTTTCACCCATCTGACATCTGTCCCTCCTGTCCAGGCTCATCAGAATGTTGTTAGCTCTGCTAGATACCACCCTTCCCACACCCTGTCCACTTCAACTGTTGTCACGTAATCTCCACCTGAGGAGGTGAGATCCCTGTGGACTGATTTGAGCTGTAGGTAGGAAATGTTTTCCCTATATGGGCTGTACTATAACATAGGTATCATACAAATCAGGTCCTCCCTTGCAAGAGTTCTATTAGTATCTTGAAGTGTTACTTAATTCGGTTGTTGTTTATCTTTTTAGAAGTTTTCCATTTATTCATATCTTCTCTCCCTAGCCAGATAGGAAGTTTTCCAAAGACGAAGGCTGCCTCCCGATACTTTGTATGTCCAGAGCATCAGCCTGTGCGCCTTCTTCAGAGAAGACATTTGTATCCTTTGTGTAGAATCCAGTGCCAGGAGGCAGCCTCCTGACCCATCTCTTTCCTCAACGTTCTCAGCTGGTTCCCCTCAGCCCAGCTCAGAGGCTGACCTGGAATAAGCCTATCCAGAGGGACCCTGGGTGTTCTGAGAGTCACAGACTGTGCCGGCTGAAAGGAACTTTTAATCCAACTCTACTGTGTAATGGAGGAGGAAGACTTGCTTCAGGGAGGAGAGGTGAACTGCCTGTGGTCTTCCAACTAAATCGCTGCAGAGTTAGGGCTGGAACTGGAGTCCTTTCCCTCCTATCCAGAGCTATTTATTCTAGGACGGTGGCTCTCAGACTGTGTTCTCACAGGAAGCTGGCGCTCAGAAAGCTGGATTGAAGCCCTCTCATGCCAAATCAAATATTGGAGGACTTTCTCCAATGTGCAGAAAAAAAAGATTAATAGATTGTTTCCTCAACTTTAAATGATGTTTCCATTAATACTTCTTCAACCATTGTAACTTGCTACCAATTGTCTAATAGCCACTGCAGCTAGACAACAAAAGAATAAGCCACAAATAAATATAAACGATAACAACGAAAGCCTTGGAAATAAATCATTCTTAAGTTAAAGGCTTTTTTTCTTTTTTTAAAAAAGACTGCTGTGACCATAGGCTTTCTATTGCATTCATATAATAAAATCACGCATTCTGCTGGTGACATTGTTTTAAATTCAAATGCTATAAGTAAATATATCATTACTTCATGGTTTTCCCTAAAGCGCGCTGTGACCCCCAAGGACTCTGTCCCTTGGAACATTCTGCCATCTCCCTTAATGTGATTGATCTAGGGTCATTTCCAGGCTGAGTGACCCCGTCGGATCGGGGTCCAGGGAACTTATCTGATTTTTTCGCCCTCAAGTACTAATAATGGCTTGGGGTTGTATTAGGTCCTAAACTGTATTCCCACCCTAAAGGTCCGAGGGCAGGGCTGCCTCTGCGGTTGGCTCCGTGGCGGCTTCCCCATCTACGCGGGCGCCCCCTGCTGCCCGCCCTCACGCCGTACCTGCCCGGCGAGGAGTAGGGTACCAGAGGCTGCAGACCGAGAAAGCCACCGGGCGTTTACAGTCCCAAAGGGAACCAACCGTCTAAACGCTTTCCCATGGAGAGCTCAGCGCACCCGGGACAGTCCTTTCTGGGGCAGGATTGGATATTTTAGTCCAACCGCTGCAGCAAGTTGTCCGCGCAAACACGGATAAGAAAATGCCTGGATTGCCAACCAATATCGAACGAATTCTGTGGGGTTTCTAGAAGGAAAGGACCGTCGAGTAACTTTGCTGAGCCCTTTGTCCTCCCCCAGGACACGGGAGCGGGGCGTGGGGACCTCTGCCTTGGCGACCCACAGTAACAACCCCTGTGGATGTGGAGGGTGGCGGCGCGTTCTCGGGCTCATCTCACGCTTTCCCCAATTAGGATCTGCCGCCTGACGTCACGTCTGCCGGAGATTGGCTGTTGCGATCTGACACCCGCTTCCACAGGAGAGCAACTTTTTAAAGACTTTGCAGCCCGGGCTGCCTCTGAGCGTCCCGCGCGCTCACGCTCGCCCTCGGCCGCTCTCGCCGGCCCCGCGCGGCGCACGCTGCACCCCCGGCCAGGCGCGCGGACCCTCACCTTGCGCAGCCCGCGCCCCTCGCCCCTCCCTCCGGGCCCCGCGCTCCCCACCCCCACGCCCGCCCCCTCCTCCGCGCCACAATCGGCCGGGGTCTGGGGCCGCTCAGCCTCCCGCAGAACTTCCTCTCTTGCAACCGAGTTGGCCTCCTCCCGCCTTTCCCGTGCTCTCGGCAGATCTCGGGGGAGCCCGAGCGCGCGGGGAAGGGCGAGGGCGGCCGCACCGGGCGAGCCGCACGGCCGGGGGCGGGGGCCGGACCGCGCGCGGCCGGTCGCGCCGGCTGGGGCCCGCGATGGCGGGGGCCTGGCTCAGGTGGGGGCTCCTGCTCTGGGCAGGGCTGCTCGCGTCGTCCGTGCACGGCCGGGTGCGGAGGATCACGTACGTGGTGCGCCCGGGCCCCGGCCTGGCGGCGGGCGCCTTGCCCCTGGGCGGGCCCCCGCGCCCGCGGACCTTCAACGTCGCGCTCAACGCCAGGTACAGCCGCAGCTCGGCGGCCGTCGGCGCCCCCAGCCGCGCCTCCCCAGGGTCCCCCTCGGAGCGGACCCGGCGCACTAGCAAGCCGGGCAGCGGGGCCCTGCAGGGGCTCCGGCCGCCACCGCCGCCGGAGCCGGCGCGTCCCGGGGGCCCCAGCGGGCAGCTCCACCCCAAGCCCGGCGGTCACCCGGCGGCCGCCGCGTTCGTCAAACAAGGCAGGCAAGTCGTGCGCTCCAAAGTGCCGCAGGAGACCCAGAGCGGCGGGGGCTCCAGGCTGCAGGTTCACCAGAAGCAGCAGCTGCAGGGGTAAGCCCACACCCCCTCTGCCCGCCCGCCCGCCTCGCGCGCGCCGCCCGCGAAGGGCCCCGCGGGGTCAGGGCCACTCGGAGTCCCGCGGTGGCCGGGGACGTCGTGCGCGGGGGGTCGGCTCTCTGCCCGCCTCTGCCTGCCCTGGAGCGCCGCGGGAGAGCCGAGTGCGGGGAAGCCCTGGAAGCTCTCGTCACGTTAAACTCCGAGTGCATTGTTACGGAGCTGCGGGTAAACACAAAAGGCATTTCTGCCTGGGGCGTAACCTCCTGTGCGCAAACCAAACTACTCCTAGAAGATGGGCGTAAACGTGAAGTCACTACAGTCGAATCCCTCAGCATCAATCAAACTTCGCTTTGCAACTCAGTTTTAATTTTGGTCTAGCTAGAGAAAAAAAAATGTTTGGAGGGAGGGCTGGCTGGAAAGGTCCAGCTCCTTCTGTGGCCTGGAACTTTTCAGCATCCTAGAAACTGTGAGCTTGGGCTTCCCTGCACCTGTGGGGTTTGCTTTCCTGGGGCGGGTGTTCTTAGAGTTGATAGAATTTTTGGATGTAAAGTTGCTGTTATTGGGAGCTCATAAGTATCTTCCCTGTGCACCTTCCCACCCCCCAGTTAATCACATGTTGGCCTGGAGGGGAAAACTTGTTCTGCTTATTTGGTTTTTTCCCCCCTCCCTTTTCAGGGGTGGTTCCAGGCGATGTGACCTCACTCCTTTTTGGACACTTCTTTCTGAAACTCAGTTTCAATTTAAAATGTGGGCCCAGATAATATACAAAATGAACTTAGCTCTACTTTGATTTTGGGGTTAACAAAACCATTTACCTGGACCTCATTTTCCCATCCTGTATAGCTAGCTCTAGGTTATGCAGGCTTTTTGGTTCTCCCACCCTTCCCTGATACGTGGTCTTTATACTTCTACTTGGGTAGCTTTGGGTTGGGCATCCCGGGTACCTGTTAAAACTCTCCAATCCAGAGGAATGTAGAAGCTGGAACCTGGAACCTGCTGGAAGCTTGGATTCTTGTTAAGGGAGTGTCACTGCTGCTGGACTCAGGGGTCTTGCTTTGTTTCAGGGTCAATGTCTGTGGAGGGCAGTGCTGTCATGGCTGGAGTAAGGCCCCTGGCTCCCAGAGGTGCACCAAACGTAAGTTGCCATGCTCCCAGTGGCCCCGCACAGAAGGCAAAGTGAGGCTGTCCACATGGGGGCATCTCACAGGGGCCACTTGCAAGGGCTAATGCTGCTCCGGGGAGGTTGAAGTCTGAAACACAATTTACCCATGCAGCCTGCATTACCACCCAGGAAGGGCTGGGTCAGGGTAATGATAGTATCAGTGCCAGCAGCCATGTGTTGTACAGGACCATGCTATGCATCCAAGATTCTCTGCTCTCAACTGAGATATTAATCACTATGTCACATCTGTGAATTAGGAGCTAGGAAAAAAAATCCCATTTGAGGATGTGCCATATGGCAGAACCAATAAAATTAATTTAAACATGATACCAACAAATGAAAACATTTTTTTAAGATGATGGCAGGAGGCGAATGGGAAGTAGAGGGCCTCATTCTGGAATGAAACATCAATAGTTTTTATAGCTTTCTGAAAACAGCAACCTGAATCCTCCATCTTTTAGGCCTGATAGTTTTTCAGAGTGCACCACTCTGTACTGCTCTTCAGAACTGATGAGCGGGGCCCCCTCCAGTGCTTCTCCAGTTAATGTGCATGCTCAGCAGTGTTTTAGAAAAATGTGTTAATTAAAATTAGCCTGGTGTGGTGGCATGCGCCTGTAGTTCCAGCCACTCAGGAGGCTGAGGCAGGAGGATGGCTTAGGCTCAGGGGTCAAAGGCTGCAGTGAGTTATGATTGTGCCATTGTACTCCAGCCTGGGTGAGATCTTGTCTCTACAAAAAAAAAAAAAAAAGAAAAAAGAAAGAAAGAAAATGTGTTAATGATGCATAGAATGCATATAGATTTGAGAACAGTGGGAAATTTTTCCCCTATGCATCATGAAGTTGAGGATTAAGTTAAAATGTATCTTGAGGCTCCTCTTGACAAATTGATGCTGTCTGGTGCTAATTAGAAATAAGCCTTATAAAGAAAAAGTTAAGCATTCTTAGATGTTCTCTGCATCCCATGTGGATTGGAATTGTTCAAATTTCAGCTGCTTATTAGGATTCAGCATAATAAACAAAATTAATTTGTCTTGTATAGTTTGGATTTTAAAACACTGGTGGATGAATAAAAAAAATTTCTGATACAGTCATTCTAGTGACTTTGTTTTTTGAAAATGCCTTCAATCCTCAAAGGAAACAAAGAGCCTTTGGCATAATGGCTTTATTTTTGTAAAAAGAAATGTCTGTGTGTTTTATGATTTGGCTGTCATCAAGAAGTACTGGCAGACATGAACAGCCTCCTGATTCCTAAACTCAAACCACTAGATCAGAACTGCTCAGGGTTGTAGGTATTTTAGATTAAATCATAATTTTTCATTTTTTAACTTCTTAGATTACACCTAACAGGAATATGTCAGCATTTTCCTGAATTTAGAATTGCTCAGGACAAATGACATGCCCTCCCCTCTCCTTAGTAACTTGTTCTGCCCAAAACCTGATGTGATATGGTTTGCCTCTAACTTGGAGGTACCCATCCATGACAGCGTCATTGCAATAGGATATTGCCGTGTAAAGGTTAGAAACACAGGGCAGGATTTTACAGATGGTTAGATGCTCCTTGATGCCTGTTGGGGAGAATGCTCTAAGGCTTTAAAAGTTTACTTGGCAAGTGATGCAACTGAGTGCCTTCTCTGAAAAGACAGTAGACCCCTATTCTCAGGTTACTCAAGCATTTGGGAATCCAGAGGTGTTCTACAAAATCCAAAGATGCTCCAGATCTTGAGGAATTGCCTCACAGCTTCCTGCTTCTCTAGGCAAGGGAGGCAAAGACGTGTGTGCACCTAGGTTTATCTGGGTTTGACCCTTGGTGGTCCAGAGAAAGTCCACAGAAGGGTGTTGGTTGAACAGTTAGCTACTCTAGGGTTCCAGAGGAACTTGCTACATTGATTTAATCTCACAATACCTACAACAAATTCCTCTAGCTCTTAAGTTTTCCTTTCAGCTTCTAGGAGGTAGCCCTTGGATAGCACCAGCATATAAGCAGTGCAACATCCCTTTCCTTTTCTATGGTTTCAGCATCCAAAAAATTAGCCTTCCTATACTGCCCAATCTGACAAATGAATTCAGGCCCAAATGCTAGAAACTTAAATCACAACTCCTTTCAGGAATAATTATGTTTTTAAAAGGGATACTGGGGTAGGTCAGTGCTCAGTCCAAAGTAATGTATCCATGAGATGGATATTTAAACGGGGGACTTGTTTTCTGTGTATCTGGGAGATCCAGAGAGATGAGAGAACCTTGTGCCTTCAGATGAGACCACTGGGGTTACCTCTGATGCTGTGAAACTTGTGTCCATGACTGAACAGTGTGATGCTGGGAAAGGCCGCTGGCCTTGGGGTCAGAAGACCTGAGTTCAAATGCTGACTCCCTTATTACCGCTGTGGCCTTGGAGAATTCACTTATCTGACCTTATGTTTTTCCATGTAGAAATTCATCGTGCTAAAACCTCGCCTCATTTGTAGGATTGTTGCAAATATCAAGGTGAAAGAGTGTGGGAGTGAAAGCCTCGATGAAACCAGAAAGATTCTTTTAGGGTTTAGTATTGGATCAAGCCCAGTAAATCTAGTCTCATTTATCTGTGACTTGATTTTTCCTTTATTTTCCTTTGTGGTCTCCTTCCTCTCTCCCTTCCTTATTGTGCTGAGATGGAACAATTGCACTTAGGTGTGATTTATAGCACATAAAAATACAAAAACCAATGATATGTCCACATGAAATTCCCCCTTAAGATAATAGTCATCATAAAATGTGCATGCACATTTAAATGTGTAACCCAGCATGTCTTCTAATTATCGTTATAATTTGAGGATAGTGAAGAATTTGAGTTTATATAGGACATGTCCAGTTGGTGCAAAAAATTTTTTCTGTTTAAGAGATTGGAAGTGTTCATGTTGTTTAGTGTTTGCTTAATGCAGTGAAGAAAATAAGGTATTTCTTTCAGCCAGCCTGGATTGATTTTAGCTGATTGAAACTTAATTTAAAAATGGGCCATGGGCAAATGCTTCGGAGAACTGAAGATTTAGTGAACCTTAAATTGCAAATCAAAGAGATGTGAAACAAGTAGGCGGCAGACCCACACAGGGCAAAGAATGGATATGTGCATCCATCCACCAAGGTGGTCCTTGGGGCTCTAGCCACCCAGTCACTATGTAGAGATGCCCAGTTGCATGTAAATGTTGCTTTTCCAGACACCCTTTGTGTGTGGATCTCTAGGAGTTGAAATCATAGCATGGGATATGTCATTTTAGTTATTACTATTGGGTGACTGTCGCTAGTGATACCTGTTTTGGGCAAAAGAGATGGTACCACATTTGTGCTCTTTGTAAAGAGTTAACATTTATGGGAGGGTTTTGTGGCTTAGGGGCTTTGTCTTTTGTGTGTGGGACATGAAACCTCTGATGTGTAATGTTTTTTGCCTCCCCCTATTTTTGCATTTTTTTCCTCCATTCAAACTGAATGCTGCCTCCCCACCCCCGCCCCTTTGCATTGGTTCTTCCAATCTTTTTGTCCCCCTTTTAGGGTGCGCGTGCAGAACTGAGAGAGACACTGCCTGTTGGCTCAGCTTTAACGAGAGGCTGGACCTGGGGACAGACAACACAAAAGAGTGAAGGGGAGAGGAGAGAGAGGCCAAGCTGGCAGGGAGGGTGGAGGGAAGAGGAAAGATGGCAGATCTGAATACAAAGCAGGAGGCTGGCACATTGCAGGCGCTCCGTAAATGCATGGATGGTTCTTTCATTTACTTAATGGATATCTGTTTAGCTTTTACCGTGTGCCAGGCTCTATGAATAGAGGAGAAACGCAGCCAGCTGTAGGGAGTGCAGGTCTGTTTTTACTCACTTAACTCATGGCACATCAAATGACTTGTTCTCTCCTTAGCAAGAAACAGAAAATCGATATTCCATTGCTTTTCCATTGGCATTCAGCCCATGCTACTTTGGGGGGAAAAAAAAGCAAAACTCAACTCTAGAAATTTTCCTTAAATTATAAGCAGAGGAGATGTTGCCATGCCTACCCTTGGTGCTCAGAGATGCTGCAGTAGATGGCATCATTCAGGAGGGTGTAACGCGGCTGGAGTTCAGGTGACCCAGAGGACTCTCTCAGGCCGTATCCCGTCCCTCTGGCTCGGTGTTGTACTAGCGAAGCTTGGGAGTTGGGCCCAGAATGATTACACATTTTTCATATGCCTGCTATGGCCATCGACAGCTGCTTTGCCAACAGATCTGCAGGGAAGTTTACCATGGCAGCTGCTGGGAGGGCCGCCCCGGCCCCAGTGCTGGGAGCTGGGGTGGGAGGGTCGGCTGGAAAATCTTGTCATGCAGCACAGACAGCCCTGCGAAGGGAGAGGGACCCAGAGGTCAAGTTCACACTGGGTCAAATATGTGTTCTCAACACTAGTTAAAACAAACATTTAGGAACCGTAAATTCAGTGTTGGGATAGTACTTAAACCTTCATGGCGAAGCCCTCCTCCAGCCCGAGGGCCGGCTGAACATACCGCCTGCCCTCTGCCTGCTCTGTTTTATTGAAGTTTCTGCTGTCCAGTGAACTCTTGGCCCCTGGGAAGCCTGACTTGTTGAAAGGGCTTTTGGCAGCCACAGGGTTTTGCTGTTTCTGACCTTGTTATTTGTTGTCTTGGCAATTCTAAACATACTCAAACATGTTTGGGAGCTCGAATTAAATTTTCCTAAAATGCAGATTTTGCTTCCAAGTCTTTTTTAGCAATGAAAGGGGTAACTCGGGAGTATGGGGCGGTGTCACCACCCTTTTATACTGATATTGGTCAGTACCAATATCAGATCCTGCAGGGAGGAGCTGCCCATGGGACGAGGGTAACGTGTAGTGCTGTAGAGCTTGCACCCTGCGGGGATCGCTGAGGCAGGCACGATTTCCAAGTCGGGGGCAGTGCTCAGTCTCCACCCCAGGTCTTGTGGCTCTTTCTGCTGCCCTGGGCTGCCTGGACATCAGGCATTCTCTCT